ACAGGTTCCATTTTGATGTGTTTGTCTTATGTGCATTTAAAAATAGTATCTAATGAGTGTCATTTTGTATCTTACAGGCTAGGCTAGAGAAACTCCAAAATGAAATCTCCCAAGTTGCAAAGAAGACTGGCATTTCTTCTGCAGCTAAATTAGCACAGCTGGAGCAGCGAGACATCAAAAGCACAACTGATGGATGTCCAGAAGTTGAGTGGTGGGATGCTGTTATTCTGAAAGGAAATAGGTAGGAAACTTTGTCAGTATGATATTTATTTGTGGATTACTAATTCTACTTATATGTTTTTATTCTGGGTTGTTACTCTCTACAGCTTATGGACACAAGATATAGCTTCTTTATATATGTATCTGCTTGAGTCTTTTGATTGCAAGGTCGAAGGCTTCTTGAAGATTGTCAGGTTTTGCTTCCATGCATAAGGCTAGATGTGCAATTACTTTGATGAATTACCTGTTGAGGTAATATCATCCTCACTCATTGAAGAAGAGAAACAAAATAATATATTGAATATATTCTCTTGTAAGTCTGAAATTATTAAGAGGTCAATTTCATTTACATGATGACCTAACAACCTGATAAACTTTTGGGGGACTACAGGTCTATGAACATGACTTTATTAAAGATAAGCAATGATCTACAAATGAGGAAAGATTCATGAAATTCTATAAATTACATTGTCGAAACAAATGTTTGGAATTTTTACTGGATTTGCTTTTCTGTTGATGGTTAATGAAAGAATGTCTTATATGTAGCTAGTCTTAATTGGATGATATATATCATATTTTCTTAGTTTTGGTAGATTGTAGACTAATATAAAAAAAAAATGCAGTATAACATACAAGGTGACCCAGTAAATCTCATCCTTTTTTGTGTTCATTCACTAAATGGAAGTGTGCTCCACTGCCATATAAAATCCTCTTAAATTTATACACAAGCTTGCTCTTTTTTGCTTTTGTTTCTGTATTTCAGCTTTGGTTTATAGAATGATTGCCATTTTTGCTGTTCATCTATAAAAAGTTTTGTTATTATGATATGCTCTAGGAACTCACATTTTCTCATGTTCAATTATGCTATTGGATTTAAACCCTGTGGAACAGTGAAGTGTGAATCATCACACACGCACACACCACACATGCATGAATTATGTACCAACACACATCTCCTACCTCCCTACCTACCTACCTCTCTCCCTCTCTCCCATTCTCTGTCCCTTCCTCCCTCCCTCCGTATCTACCCGCCTACCACTTACCTGCCCACCTATCCACCCCCTGACCTGCCCACTTATCCACCCACTTACCTGCCCGCCTACCCACCCACTTACCTGCCCGCCTACCCACCCACTTACCTGCCCGTCTCTACCCACCATTTACCTGCCCATCTACCTGCATACCTACCCACCCACCAACCCATAAATCAACCCACCTACCTATCCACCTACCCTCCCACCCAACTACACATCCACCCACCTGCCCACACACTCTACCACCCAGTTACCCAACAACCCTCCTACCTACCTACACACCTACCCATCCACCCATTCACCCACCTACCCACTCACCCATCCAACAACCTACCCACTCACTCACCCAACAAACTACCCATTCACCCATCCAACCTCCTACCCACTCAACCTCCTACCCACTCAACCTCCTACCCACTCAACCTCCTACCACTCACCACCCAACACCTACCCACTCACCCACCCAACCACCTACCCACTCACCCACCCAACCACCTACCCACTCACCCACCCAACCACCTACCCACTCACCCACCCAACCACCTACCCACTCACCCACCCAACCACCTACCCACTCACCCACCCAACCACCTACCCACTCACCCACCAACCACCTACCCACTCACCCACCCAACCACCTACCCACTCACCCAACCACCTACCCACTCACCCACCCAACCACCTACCCACTCACCCACCCAGCCTCCTACCCACTCACCCACCCAACCACCTACCCACTCACCCACCCAACCACCAACCCACTCACCCACCCACCCACCTACCACCACCTACCCACTCACCCACCCAACCACCTACCCAGTCACCCGCCCAACCACCTACCCACTCACCCACCCAACCACCTACCCACTCACCCACCCAACACCTACCCACTCACCCATCCAACCACCTACCCACTCACCCCCCACCACCTACCCACTCACCCACCCAACCACCTACCCACTCACCCACCCAGCCTCCTACCCACTCACCCACCCAATAACCAACTCACTCACCCACCCAACAACCTACCCACTCACCCACCCAACAACCTACCCAGTCACCCACCTAACAACCTACCCACTCACCCACCCAACATCCTACCCACCACCTACCTGCCCACCAACCCATCAACATACCCATCACCGACAGCATATCCACCTACCCACCTAACTCTCCACCCACCTTACCTCCCATCTACCCACCACTTACCTACCATTCCATTTCCCTACCCATCTCCCTGCCCATCTCCCTGCCCACCTCCCTGCCCACCTCCCTGCCCACCTACATACCTACCCATCCATGTAATAGACAAGTACTTGGTATTTGGTTATATTACAGTCTATTGCATTTTTATTATTTTTTTGTATGTATGTTTCTTTTTATGTAAGTGTTCATATATTAATTATTAAACTTATTGTCTCTCAATTTATCCTGTAGGTACCCAGAGGAGAATGAAACTATTGCTATCAATGAAGATTATATTACAAGGCTTATAGAACATCATTAGAAATGAAGTGCCCATCTGATCCATCTAAACCAGTGACTCTTCAGGTGTTCCTGACAAAGCAAGAACGTAAAAAGTTACGTCGCATGAACAGACGTGAAGCATGGAAAGAAAAGCAGGAGAAGATTCGTTTAGGATTAGAGCCTCCACCAGAGCCAAAGTTTGATATTGAATCAAGTTTTTAGCTCATTGCCTCTGGGTGTCTCCTTTGCTGTACCAAGCCATGTGTTAAGGGGAAGATTAGAAGCATGGGAAATGGATATATTCCTACCCTTTACAGTTTTGGCTGCATGAATTCCAGTAAATAAGGCTAAATGATGACTTCAGGTCTACTTTTGATGTCTGTAACTCTCTAGCAGCTGCAGTCATGGCTAAACGAGCATTCAACTATTTAGTGTAACTTGGTGTACTGAGTCTATCAGTGTAGTGGTATGGGCATACATTCTGTCCTTTGGCATTGGGTTAATTGTATGTTTTCAGAGAAGTAAATATGCCTAAATAGAGATGTACAGTGTGTTATTTTTAAAAGTATTTTGTATTGTATTTTCTTGATGATATTTTATTGAACTTGACATATTTGCTTGCCTGGTAAGATGTGAAACAAATGGTGGAATCCTTTGCTGAAAGATTACCTGAGATATTTCTTATTTAAAGCTTATTCCTCTATATATAGGTGCGTATGGCAAACTTGATGCGTGTGTTAGGGACAGAAGCTGTCCTGGATCCAACAAAAAAATGGAGAAGCTGTGAGGGAGCAGATGGCCAAAAGACTGAAGGCTCACCAGGATGCCAATGCAGCAAGAAAGCTCACACCGGACCAGAGGCGGGATAAGAAAATCAGGAAACTCAAGGAAGATACAACTACAGGAGTCCATGTATCAGTGTACAAGTTAGTATATTTGGTTGTGGCTGGTTCATGTGGAATTTTCAGGGGAATGTTGACTTTTTGTACTTCCAGTCCATGAAATCTTGCATGTAGGAAACATACTTTAGGCTATAGATCAATAAGTAGGGAAGTTTAAAGGCTTTAGTAATTGCCAAGGGTTTAAGGAAGTTCCACATTATTTACTTTTGTGACATCCCCAACTCGATATTTATCCAATGCTGTTGTGAATATTGACATCTAGCTACCAGCTTTGATGATATTTATTAAATTTGTCCTTTTAACCAGTATTCTCAGAACTCAAACAGGGCTAAAATGAATTCTGATGAAAAAGGTAGCTATCAGGCTTGGAAGTTAACAGCCATATAGCCAGAAATATATTTGATCTGACTCTGGTTGATGTAAAGAAACTAAAAAGTTGACAGATAAGAAAGTCTTTATGTAAATCTTGTTGCAAGAACATCCTATTTTTTCTGAGAAAAATGAAAACAGATAAACATTGGTTAATACTGGAGGAAATGTAACTTATGTAATGTGTGTGCTTTTTTAATGATATAATTCTGGCTGTTCATAATTTTAATTTTTGATAGGAAATTCATAGTTAGTCCTTGTATGGATTTCTCTGTTTTTCATATTTTAGGATATTTAGAAAAAATATAATCAATATTATCTCAATATATCTTCTTTTTCAGAGTGACAGACTTTTCAAATGGTTCCCACAAGTTTAAGGTTGAAACCAATGCAAAACAGCTGTTCTTGACTGGTACAGTTGTATTATTTAAGGATATCAATGTAGTTGTCGTGGAAGGAGGACCCAAACAACAAAAAAAATACAAGAAGTGGGTATTCACTACAGCTAGTAGAGTAAACTAAAATAATTTTTGTATATAGAATTTAATTTTTCTGAAGTCTTTTTTTAATTTAGGTTGACTTTGACTTCTCACTTGACATATCAAAATCATATATATTTATACTGTATTCTACTTTATATTTCTTGGATATTGATATATTTTCACTTTTAGGCTGATGATGGAGCGAATTAAATGGGCAGAAGAATCACGTTCGAAAGATGCTGAATTAGAATCAAAATGCCAGTTGATTTGGGAAGGGTCAGTACCTGAACGAAGCTTTGGGGAGGTAAGTATCACTTTCTATGAATTCAGAATATCTAAAGTAATAATTTGTTATTGAAATATATTTGTTGATTTCATTATCATCCTGTTTATTAATAGATAATCTATATCTGCAGATGCAGTTCAAGGCTTGCCCCACAGAATCTTTTGCAAGAGATCATTTTAAGAAACATGGAGTGGAACAATATTGGGACTTAGCTTATGGCAAGAAAATCCTTGAAGAAGCA